CTGAATGCCACTTGCGAGCCTTACCAACGGAGATAGGCCGCTGGATAAATATACCTGCATTTGGACGCTTTCTGGACCAGGTGCATTTGGACGAGTCCAACGTTTTTAATGAATCGGGTCCAGAATAGTGTGGAGCTTGTTTTGCTAAACGGCAGGTACCGTCTTCACTCGAATAGAACGCCTTGTCATTATAGCCCCCCCGTATTTGGTCCAATTTTCAGTCCCGATACAGCTATAATCACCAGGCGTTATATTCGGGTCAAGACGGTGGCACTCGATTGCCTGTACTAATGCGGCTATTTCCCGAATATTATAATTACTTATTTAATTTATTTGTTAATTTATTAATTGCTCTTGGTAGTATTGGACCACCACCTTTTTTTTTCTTCTTTTTTCCCTCTTTTATTCTTCTAAGGTAGGAGGTATGTACTTTCTTTTAGAAGTTTTTTTTTTTTTCCCCCCCCCACTGTAATTGGCAATTCATTTAGAAGCAAGGCTACCAGCCGGGCCGCCCGGGTCACCCTACTTTCCCGGGCGGCCCGGCCGTGAAAACAAAAAACAAAAAACCTCCGGAAAATCCCAAAAAAACTATGTTATGCAGAAAAATAAACTGAACAACTTTTGCCTCAGGGTCACATCGAAATTCTTTACCAAATTTAAAATAAAATTTTAAATTAAAAATTCATTTTTATTTTTTTTCCTTTTTTGCCCGGCCGGGCAATTTGACCCGGGCAACTCTGGTAGTCTAGTTTAGAAGTTCTTTTAAAAAAAACTTAAAAAAAAAAAACTCCGACGAAACAGTTGGTCACAGCCCCTCCCTCGTTTCTTGTCCTCTTCTCCCTCCCTCTCTGCCCCTACCGTTTACCGTCGGCAGCTCTGTTTTACGATATATGACTTCACGTTCTATTGAAAAAAAACCCTTCAATTCTATTGAAAAAAAAATAACTTCAATTCTATTGAAAAAAATAACTTCTATTCTATGTGTGTCAAAATTTGATGTCATTTGGAGTATTAAAATTTGTGTTGTGAAGAGTGGTGAAAATTGTGAAAAATTGATGACGTTTTTTTAGCCAAAATGTCATGAAAATGCACTTTTGGCTTGCTGTTTCATATGTTTTTAATTTTTGTTTTTTTGTTTTGTTTTTATAATATGTTAGTAAGAAGTGCACTCTATACATCGGTATGAAGTTTGTTTAAAATGGCCTTATGGTTTTCTTACAAATTGAGGCGAAAAATGGGGGGTCGGTTAACCTTTTCTCATTCTCCACAAGCGGTTAACAGGGACCCCCACTTTTCGGCCCTAGGTAACGATGGATTCTATTGAAAAAAATAACTTCAATTCTCCAATCTGTTGTACAAACGGTCAACACAGAGTTGTGCCTTAATAGAACGTGAAGTCAGGACATTGTTTTTTTTTTTTTTTTGAGAGAGAGGATTTGATGAGAGAGGATTTGAACTCTTGAGCTGCGCAGCATCCGTCAAGAGCTGTGTGCTATGAAGTTTCAGCCAGCGTGTATTTGGGGGATGGTTGTATTCGGGGGAAGGGGGGAACGTGGGAAAGGGGGGGGAGTAGATATGTGCTGTCCTGCTTTTTTTTTTTTTTTTTAATGTTTTTTTTTTTATGGTATTCGGAGGGCGGGCTATTATCGGTGCTCAAAATTTATGAGATGTACGGGCATCTTACCTAATGAGGTAAGTACTCTAACCACCCGCAGTCTTTTCTCTCTCTGATGTGGACATCCTTGTTCTTTTTTTTTTAATGTATGTTAAAGTAATTTTTAATGTATTTTAAAGTAATGATAGTAGTAATGATGGAAAAACGTAACCATAATGATAGGGACGTCAACACCTTCATGTGGAATCCCATTTTTCTCACGGTTGGGTCAGCAACAAACCCCGTTGTTTTGTTTTCTGTTTTTTTTTGTGTGTGTTTTGGAAAGGGGAAAAGGCCCGTAATTTTATGATGATAGCCATCAGTTTTTTTGTTTTTTTTTTTAATTACCCCTGCTGCATGAACTGTTAATCAACAATTATTAAACCACCTCTCCCCCCAACAGCCGGATGCGGAGGTTGGCGTAGTGCCCATCTTCTCCCCTGTTCCAAATTGTAGGGGTACCCAATCCCGGCAGGCCCTGGGATTGGGAACACGAAATTATGCTCATGCCCATTAAGTAGCAGACCGTTGGGACCCGACGGCTGCTGGGTATGAGCATAATTTCAGCCATCCCGTAGCAGGGCATATGAATAATTTGGTCGCTGCAGCTCAGGTCCTGGGTATGCCCATAGTTTTTTTGCCTGGGTATGCCCATAATTTGTGCATTCGGGTAGTTGGTTATAACCGCAATTTTGCAATACCAATCTGGGTCCACCTTGGTCCTGGGCATGCAAACAATTTCCACCTGCCCCTTTATGGGTATAGATGCAAGTTGGCGCTGGGATTGGGTATAGCCCTAGTATTCCCATCTTTAAGTGGGGTACATATGCAATTTTCCCAAAAAACAAAAAGTGCTGCGCATGCGAACAATTTCCACTTGCGACTTTCTGGGTAGGGATGCAAGTTGGCGCTGGGACTGGGTATAGCCGGTATTCCCATCTTTAAGTGGGTACAGATGCAATTCAACCCCCCCCCCCCCCCCCCCCAAAAAAGAAAAAGGCACCAACTTTGTCGATTTTTCGTGTTCAGAAGAATGGACAAAAATATTTTAAAAATTGAGGTTCTATAGATTAGGTCCTGATCTTTCCAGGAAAAATATCAGAAAAATAAAATTAAAAAAAAAGAAAGTTTTGACCATGAAACAAGTAGTTGCGGCCATTCGGCGTATTTTTCATCTCCCCGCTGCCACGTGTGGGCCAGAGAAAGTTTCGCAAGGGAAAGAGTACTCTCAACTTCAGTGAGCCAAGGCAATTTTTTATTTATTTTTTGCCCAGAAGAATGCACAAAAAAATCTGAAACTTGGAGGGGGCGTAGATTAGGTCCTGATCTATCTGGGAAAAATATTAATAAAATTAAATTAAATAAAATATAAAATAATAAAATTAAAAAAAACGCAAAAAAAATCTGAAACTCGGAGGGGGCATAGATTAGGTCCTGATCTATCTGGGAAAAATAAAATAAAATAAAATAAAATAAAATAAAATAAAATAAAATAAAATAAAATAAAATAAAATAAAACAAAAGTCGTAGAACCACGAAATAATTCGCTCAGCAAACTGGTGCTTTCCTTTTTATTTTCTCTCACTGTAACCCCCCCGAACTTGTGCAACCCGTAGGCCTGACCCTTGAGGCCGAGGTCGCCAGTTCGAATCCGTGCTTGCATGCACGGAGGAGGGCCATGGCCCCAGATGTACGGATCTATAGCTACTGATGAATCAGTGCTACCGGTCCCCCTGACCTCCTTTTTTTTTTTTTTTTTTTTCGCCTTGGAGGGAGTAGAGTGGTGGTTTCAATGCTGTCTCTTATACACATCTAGATGTGTATAAGAGACAGGACCATCACTTGAATAGGCGAGAGGAGGAGCACAAGCGGTTAACAGGGACCCCCACTTTTCGGCCCTAGGTAACGATGGATTCTATTGAATGATCCTGAATTTAGGGTTTTTTTGTATTTTTTTGCATTTTTTGTTTTGTTTTTATAATATGTTAGTAAGAAGTGCACTCTATACATCGGTATGAAGTTTGTTTAAAATGGCCTTATGGTTTTCTTACAAAT